CTTTTTGAGACAGGGTCTCCTTGTAGCCCCAGCTGTCCTGGAACTCACTATGTAGACCACACTGGCCTCGAACTCACAAAGATCCATCTGCCTCTGCCTCCCAAGTGCTGGGATTAAAGGCGTGCACCACCATGCCCAGCTCGATATTGTATATATTTAAAATATCCAAAACTAGAAGACCTTTAAGTCTTTCCCATGTTTTTTAGTTTTAGAATTTTGGTCTTGGGGCTGGAGAGATGGCTCAGCAGTTAAGAGCATTTGAGCTCAGGGGCTGGAGAGATGGCTCAGTGGTTAAGAACACTGGTGGTTCTTGCAGAAGACCGGGGTTCAAATCCCGGCACTCACGTGGCAACTAATAACTGTCCGTAACTCCAGTTCCTGGGGATCCGACAGCCTCTTATGACCTCCGCAGGCATTCCACAACACGGGTGCACTTAACCTACGTGCAGGCAATGCACACATGCATATACATAAAATAAAAATTTAAAAAAAAATACTACTTAGAATTGTAGCCATCAGCTTGGACTTTGACTTGAATTAAATGAGACTGAAGAAATTTCATACATCCTCACATATATCTTAATGGTTGCATTGTATAGTAATATAGTCAGAATCTGGCTTAATTCTAGGGTTGTATAAGATGATAAAAGTTGAATCAGACACTGCCTTGGTCTTCATACATCAACCTTTATTCCATAGGTCACTCTAAATATTTTTACTGTCCTCCAGGGGTAATGTGTAATTATTTTAAAGTCATTTTGTTCCTCTCACGTGAGCTGCTTGAAGCTCAGGTAGGAAGGGGGAAGCTTCAGTGAGGAGAGACTAAGTAATGTATACAAACAATGACTGCAGCTCTGAGGCTTACAAAACAGAGTTTTGTATCTTACTCATGCCATATATTCATAAGGAGTCCAGTACAGCTCTGTTCCAAAACCTTTTAACATTTCTCCTTGGCTACTTACATTCTGTGCGCTAACGCAGGTCACATAGCTAGTCTGTATTAGGAACGGGGACATATAATCCTTTTTTTCAGAGACAGATAGTGAACACAGGAAACATTAAATATACAGCTTACCAACATGAAGACTCCTAAGAGGCTTGGCTGCCATGGTTATAAGGTTGTATCTTCGAATGAATGAATATCTAGGTGGATCCCCATCCTACAACCTAACTGAATTTAGAACAGACTTCTTCCAAGTGAGGTTCGGTGAGTCCAGTCCTAATCTTGAGTTTGTTCTTCCTTGCTTCTTTTTTAAAATCTCAGTTCTGGGAAAAAAAACATTCCAGACTGAGTGGAAGAACTAGGAGCAATTCCTGTAAGAACGGGTGATTTTTCCACTGAAGAGTAAAGGCACTGAATCAAAGTACCCCTCAGGTCAATTTCCAGTTCTAAGCATTTCTAAGTTATATTTTTGCCTGATTATTGGGTTCATTAGTTGTTGATTGCTAGATAAGGAAGAGGCAAATTAAAGAATTTACTCTCCAGAGTATTTTCTGCCTCAGGTATTTGACTAGTTGACTTTAGGTCTCAGATAGCCTTTGAAAGGATAAGGCAAGAAAACCTCTAGAATTTATCCCTGTCCCTAAGTCACCAGGCTCTTTATTCCACATAGTCCAGGGAGCATTGTGATGGATCAAGGACCTGAAGAATCCTGAAGGCTTATACCTGCTTAAGTTTAAATCTAGAGAGAAAAGCAGAGCTAAGTAAAGAGAGAGCTCTAAAGTTATGCATTGATAGTTTGGAGTCAAGGATTATTCATGTCACTCTTGATGTTGGTGAGTTTCCTTTAGGACTAAGTGGGAAACAGTCTGATTTAATATTGTCCATTCAGTTTAAGTCTCCTTTCCAGACACACTAGGGAAATTTCTGTACTATACTCAGTCATATATGTTCATAACACAATGGGGCCTTGTGATAGGAAATAAATAAGATGTGGCTCTTCAATGCCTAATTTATACTAGGTCTAGTCTTTAATGGGTACGGTAGATGGATGGACATTCCTAGTAACCTTGCATTACCCCCCAAGGAGTTTGCTGACTTAATCAACAAACTACCAAAATCACTGTATCATATGAAGCACGAAACAGAAGCACAACACTTGAACCTACCTATTTCTTCTACTTAAAGCCTTACCTGTTATTTGGTCGGGGTGGCGGGGAGATCCTGAGAGTGCTGACATTATAATTTTAACAAATTCTGATCTTTTCATTTAGATTGCCATTTAGATTAGAACCTAAATCTAATTTGAAGGCTTTCTAGCAAATTCATAAGTGACAGTCCATTGTAAATACCACTTGAGGTGTTTGTGCTTTTTTTCTTATGACACTAATACTCTTCTACTTTGTTGGAAATTAACTCTAGGAATGCAACCCTGCATTTAGGCAGTTTGCCATCACTGTAAGGAATACCTGACATTAAGTCAGCTCAAAAGAGAAAAGGTTTATGTTGGCTCACAGTTTCAGTGGTTTTAGCCCATGGTCACTTGGCCCTGTTGTTCAGGGCCTGTGGCAGCACAGTCTGTCATGGCAGAAGCAGGTGGCTGAGAGGGCCTCTTCACCTCAGCAGCCAGGAAGCAAAGAGGAGGAGGAGTTAGGAGCCAGTGTCATCTTCAAAGCCATGCTCCCTGGTGACCTAATTTCCTCCAGCTGAAGGTCTGCCACTTCCCAAATGTGCCACAGGACAGCAACCAAGCTTTTAACACCTGGACCTTTGGGGGACATTAAAAAACCAAGCGATAGCAAGCTCCCAACAAAAAAGTTTTTGCCAGACATGGTAGTGCACACTTATAATCCTGGACTCAGAAGGCAGAAAGGTAGGTGGATCTATACGAGTTCAAGGCCTGCTTCTACATAGTGAGACCCTGTCTGAAAAAAACAAAATAACGAAAAAGGTTTTGACTACTTAGTGGTAGAGAGAGGCTTCTCTGAGAAATTTGTCTGATCATACCACAGACAAATCTTACTTTCCCCTTACCTCCTTTGTGTTTCTTTTGACTGTCACCAAGGCTGTTTGTTGTACTGGGCATTTCACCCCCACATATCTCTGTCCTCCTTCCATCCTGCTAGATGAATAGGCAGATCTGAACTTGCCTTCTTTCCTGAGACCTCCATCCTGAGCAGCTGAGTCATCCCTTTCATAAGACTCTGCTTTTTCTCCACACTCTGAAGGGCTTCTCAAGTCTGTTTCTACTTTCTTCATCTGAGATCTGCCTTACTCTTACCCCGCCACTCACTCTTTACCCATTTTCGTATTCTCTAGAAATGTAGTGGAAACCTTAGGAATGTACATATGTGCTCTGAAATATCAAAAGTTAAGATGCCCTGAAATAACATGCATACCAGAAGCTTTTCTCTTCACTTCTTTTGACAGCCTGTAGAATGAGCCCTGTGAATCACATAGGAACAAAATAGCTTGTGTGGAAGCTTGAACTAATCAGAAACTCTTGGACTGTCTAAAGTCCTATAGAGCAGAGCACTAAAGAGATAAGAGTTTTGCACACTGGAGAGAACTTGAGTTTCCCATTTTGTGTAAAATATTACTGCAGTCTTCTCAGTGATATCTACAAGCAACTCTCATTAAAATCATTGGGAAAAAGTTGTACCCGGGGGCAAATCTTCTGAAGCCTAGTGCCATCTGTCCTTTCCTTCCTAGGTACTTGGAAGCTCTGGTAAAACATACACATGTTTGGCTTCTTGTCATTACTGTTCATGTCCAGCATTTGCCTTCTCCGTGTTACGAAAGAATGACAGCCTACTGGTAAGGATGGGGAAGGCTCTTGCCACTGTAGGCAAATTAGGAATGAAATACTTAGCCTTGTTTCATACTTCAAGAGTTGCACAAATTTGAGGGGGGGTTCAGGGTTGGGGAGTTACACAAAATGGGAATTTTCCTCCATGTTGAAATTGTGGTTTATTGTCCTGACTTTAGTCACCTCTTGGGTATAGCCTCCCAAAATGCAATGTCATTTCTAAAATTACATCAGTTTCCTACTTTTTTTAATTTAAAAGGTCATAAATGAAGCTTTGTCAATCAGTAAGGTAATGTTGAAAATGAGTACTGGGGCAGGGCATGGTGGCGCATGCCTTTAGTCCCAGCACTGGGGAGGCAGAGGCAGGCATATCTCTGTGAGTTCAAGGCCAGCCTGCTCTACATAGTGAGTTCCAGGTCATCTGGGGCTATGTGGAGACCCTGTCTCAAAAAGACCAAAAAAAAAAAAAAAAAACTGGAAAATTAGATATCCCAGTAAAAACAGAACTAAATAAAAGATGTTGGCAACTTATGTATCCCCGACTTCAGCCATACCATGTATCCTCCCATTACTCATAAGATAGCCTGGCATCATAATCAACCTTCATATGGGGCGGGAAAGCCTTTACCTCTACTTCTCTGATTTCATCAGAGTCCAGAGCATCAAGCAAGAACATACATAGTCACACACTCCTTATTCTAAAGGGAAAAAAGGCACTAACCTCCTAAAGGCAGATTAAGTCTTTCCAAAGACTTAATCCCATTCTTCCCCCTCTTTTATACTGTTAGTGTCTTAAACATCTTGGGAACTAGGTTAGGTATCTATTCCTAGCCTACATTCATATTTCACCTGGGAAACAATAGAATTGAACCCAGGCCCCCTTAGGATCTAAAGCTGTGTTCTGTGATATAAGTCCAACCAGTCATCTCCCCAGATCTGTGTATATGAGAGTTTTCCCTATGCTCTACCCCCACGCTAGAAGAATAACAATGGTTAGACAATAACTCTGCACATGTCACTGGAAATGAAGTTTGAACCTGTCCTCATGAGGTAGGTGTCAGGTTTACATGAGATCATGAGCAGTCATGACCATACTCTGAAGGCAAGGAAGAGCCTAACTGAAACCATAGCAACGTTCCGCCTCCTTTCATGTAATAGTAAGGGGTCTCAAGACTGGCCAACCATGATCCCACCTGTTCCTAACAGGTTTGTATTTTGTATTTCAGTGTAAACATCTCCTGGCAATTTATATTAGTCAAGTTATGAGGAACTGTCAGCAGCTCAGTGTCTCTGACAAGCAACTGACTGACATATTATTGATGAAGAAGAAACTAGAAGCATAAAAGGTGCAAATGGAACTTCATTGTCTTTCAACATAGAAGCCCATCAGGAAATGCATTTAGCATTTCATGGTTCACAAGGAAACTTGTTGATACTGTCACTTTGACCTCCTAAGCTAAAGGATGGGCTTTGGATTGGAGCTGTAGGCTACAGAAGTTATGTGTATGGGTTAGGAGCCCTGTATGGTCTTAACATGAAAAACCTGAACCAGCCTCTGAGCCCCCTGGGTAAAAATGTACCTGGATTATAGACTAATAAAGGCTGATACCATGCTGTGTCTCCAACTAAAGTACTAGTGATTTTTTTTAAAGATGGGGAAGGTAGACCAAACTAAATAAGCACAAGTTTAAATGAATGTTGGTTCATTTTCACTGAGTCCAGAAAATTACTCAGCAATAAAAGACTAGAGCAGACATGTAGCTAAGAAGCAACAAGTTTGAAAAGGCTTAGGGGTTCTGGTTTTTGTTAAGCTCTTACCTGTGGTACTGGTGTTGAGACAGCTTTATCGGTAGAGATGGGTGTACTCCGTGGGCATATCTAGGCTTTTTAACAGGATAAAGGAACAGACCAAAGCCCTAGGAAGCTAGATCCTACTAGGAATTTCCATCTGAAAAAGAAAAGAAAGTAAATACCAGGAATAGTGCTAGAAGGACAAGAGACTCATGTCCCCAAGAGAACGAAGGAATGAGATAAGGATGAAAAAGAAAGGAAACTTGGTAAGTAAAGCCATCCACAGCCAAAAATTCCTGGAGGAATTTTCAGGAATTCTTGGCCTTGGTAGGAGCTCCTGAACCTGCAGTCTAAGCTGAAGAAGTGAAACAAATGGATGAAACAGGTGGCTTCACAGCCCACGAAACGCCCATTGTTGTAATGTAACCCAAAACAAGGTAAAGGGATGCCAGGTAAAAAGCTAAAGCCCACATGTTACAGTGCTCTGTGGTTAGCTGAGCCTTGTTGGTTGAGGTATAGCAAAGATAATCTATAAAGATTTCTCTGCTACTTGAGAACCTGGACTTTGTATGAACTTTTGTATTGTTATTTTTTTTTTTTTTTTTT